AGAAAAAAACCACATCAGACCTAACAAAACTGCTCAAGAACCTAGGGAAATGGTTAAAACGAAAGCCACTGCGCGTATCTGCAGCAAAGTTTCCATTTCTTCTACACCCATTAATTAACAGTTCCAAGAAGATGAAGGCTAACAAGCAATTCGCAGGCTGGAAATTTTGCAAGCTTTATTTAGAATATCCATATTCCTGTCGTCAGTTTGAAACGCAGCCATCACATCAGGTGTGATGGCCACTTCACAACCGTCTTAGCCCTTCCAGCTCACAAAAGAAAGGCTTCCAAATGGCATTGTTGGAACAAAGGCTGCAAAAAATCCCGCGCTCTCAAGCTGTATAAATTAGAAAGCATTTGACAATGGCCTAGGATCCAAAAGGCACAGGTTTCACGCCAACTGCCAAACAGCAAAGCAGGGAACGTGTCATTCCCCCATTCTGTATTCCCAACCTCTTCCTCAGCGCAGACTTTCTCTCAGCCTAACACCTAGCGGAGCTGACTTCTACTTTCACAACCACACTAAACAGCTTTTTGAAGTTATTTACTGATGGGGCTCTTGACAAGAATTCGTGCACCTTCTTCCTCCTTCAGGAGACAGTTCAAGTATGTGCTTTTAACTCACATGGATTTAGCTACTTAATATTTGGGCACAAACTCCAAAACCCCTTTAAAAACATAACTCTGTAACCGTGCTCAACTATCAAAAGGGCAGTCCACCTGAAATGAGGGGCCCTTCGAGCACAGAGCAGCTTGATGCTCCACGGCCCGGACAGAAGAGGACGCGCCTTTCCCTCGCTCATACACCTGCAAACATTTTATTAAACGAGCAAACCTTTTTTAAAATCTCCCAAACAGTTTGTAAGCTCGGTGACCTCTTCTGGAATACACTGCACAAGTGACTGTGCGCTGTTCAAACAATTCATTTTTATGCAGGGCTTTATCTCTTTGAACTTTAGAGTAAATGTTAGTGTTTATGAAATACACTGGATCAACAGCTCCGGGATAAAAAAAAAAGACTCTTGAAACAAACGCTGTTAAGGCAGGAGTATTCGCACAAACTTCTGCTGTGTCACCGTGCTAATACAGCACAGTTCAATTAACAATGCCAATACCTGGGAAAGACAATAATCCAATGTCCGTGGCCAGCTCAGCACTGGACCTCTTCCAGGAACCTGTTAACCGAAGCAATTCAGCTAGTTTTAAACACACTTCACTTCAGCCAGAATCATCCGGTTAAAGAGAAAACAGATCAATCTTGTGCATTTCTACTTCATGGCCTTTGTTTTTAAAAGGACAGTATGCCATTGCTGTCTTGTTCTTTGCCCTTCCAGCTGCATAATACATCCCAGTGCTATGGAAGCTCTGCGCTTGCTGACGCTTTTTCACCTTTGTCAAGGCGACTTCCACCATCCCAAATTCTAAGTGCATGTTCTTAAGAACTTCAGAAAGGTACCAAATTACCTCCTGTTTCAAACTGTAAGGACAAGACTTCAATTATTAGGTAAGTTGGAGCAAATCTATAAAACATTCTAACAGAGAAGGGAGGCAGGACATTACACACCCTCTTGGCAAGACCAAAATTCAAAGAAATACCTTCCTGCAAAATAATCTCATCCGTTCCTAGATTCAGGAAGATGACACTCTTCCTGGACCATAAACTTTCACAGAAATTCTCATGCTCTTACCAGTACATATTTGCAGAAAACACAAGCTGTGTAACACTGTGCTGGATTTCTTAATGTACGCTTTGAGTTCACTTCAAATAAGAAGCAAGGAGAACAAGGTGTCATGTGACCTATTCTATCTAAATTCCATTTTTAAATATCAGCATCCTAGAGAGCAGAATGTTCTCTCTCCCCCCTTCATGCACCCAAGACTGACTGAAACTGTGTTTTTCAAAAGCTGCAGACAAATCACTTTCATGTAGCTGTGAGGATGATGGCCATGAGAGACAGGCATTAATGAGACAAACTAGTCAGGAGTCCAAGGGCATCATTTCCACACACTTCAGACCATTTAAAAAGAACCAGAAAGACTGTCGGGCACATTATTTTGAGAACAACCACAAAACCATTACATTTCTGCAAAGATACTTTCTGAAAAATAACCCTACTTTAGGTTCAAAATATTAGGTGGTGAGCTTCCCAAACGCGACAGCAATTTCATATATTGCTCTGACATTTCAACTAGTATTTACGGCACATTAACACTAACACCTCTCATCCAAGAATCTGATTTTACTTTACAAGTATTAACAGTGTCACAAACAGTCCATTCATCCTTTAAAGGCAAAGGCTCAGCAAAGGGAGATATAGTTACCTATTCCAGGATACACTTATTTAACTGAAGCGTCAGGCAGCATCACGACTGCTGAGAGATTCACAGTTCACGACTGGACATCACTCCTAAGCTCCTGCTCTTAACATCACAAGCTATTTTACTAAGTGTTTTGCACGGCTGTCAGATCTCTGCTGAGCCACCCAGGGTAGAAGCAAAAACCATCTTGTTTTTGCACGAGCGGGTACCTCGAGGTGCCACTCCACGCAGCAGCTTAGGCTGATGAAAGCTGCAGTTGACAGAATAAAGCCTTCGCTCTCCTTCGCGGTGCATTCCCTCTCGCTCACTCCCGTGCCAGCACGGACACAGTTCAAGGACCTCAGCAAGCAGAAAACGCAGCCAAAATACTCGGCCAAATCAACTCCCTCGAATTAGATCGCTGTAGGAAAAATAAGCAACGCCACCAGAGCAAGAAGAGAATCCTGGGCTGTGGATAAGGGAAAAAATGGGATCACAGCACAGCTGGCTTAAATCTGCCTAGACTGGCACGGGGCTGACAGCTTTTCCACGAGGACACAGTGGGGTAAATTGAGTACTAAGACTGCTGAACTCCATTGTCTTTCCCCTGCTCACCTGCGTGCCTAAGAGTACCAATAATTTTTGCCATTAACTCACTTAGAAAACCACAGAGTGGCTCAGCTTACGGCAGCAGAGCTGTGAAACAGGTCCCCAAGTGCTCTAGCAGCACTCCTGGAGAAGTACGGCATCGCAAACACAATTTTTGTATTGTATTCTGCACCTTTTCTGCGAGATCGTTCCCATTGCTGGCCACCAGACCTCGCTGTGAACTGCAGAACTACTCCATCTCCCTGCTCAAACCCTGCACTCGAGTGCCTTTCCTCTTTTAAGGAAGGGTGTGTCACAGCCTCTGCACGGAGGAGCATCACAGGCGAAGAGAGAGGCTTTCTCAGTCAACAGTTTCTGGTATCTCCAGCTCTGCAGTAGCGTGTGGGCAGGAAGCAGGCTTCAGTTTCTCTTGCACCAGTTTCCTTATGGTGTTTCAGCAATGTTTAGGCTGCTAAATCAGACCAATTTTGGAAAACGCCCAAAAGCATTAGACAGAAGACCCCAAAAAAGGAAAGCAGTAATTGTCAGTGTCTTCTCAGTAGACAGACCACCAGACAGCCTGCTAAAGACACAATCTCTGTCCCAGAACATATATGTGATATTCCCTCTCTTCTGTAGAGGCAAGAAAATAGATAGAGACCACTCTGAAAAAAATTGAGATCCATCAACTACAAATACTACCACTACAAAAGGAAAGATGACGACTCCCTTGGAGGCAAATAGCACCAGTGTAAGCTGGTAAAAGGACACTGAGCGCACATGGGCACACCTCTGGTGTTTTGTCCAGCAGCAGGGTACTGCCCTGAGACAAAATAGCTGCCAGGGTGATCATCCTATTGCTAGAAAGGTGGCATTTCTGAAGAAGCTGAGTGAACACTGGTATCACTCGGCAAGGACAAATGCCTCTCTCTCAGCATGGTATCAAAAGACAGTGCTAAAAAAAGGTGAAAGAACTCTTTGAGAGTTCTGTGCTATAGATAACAGCAAGGAAGAACCACCACGCCAAGGATGAGCGACTGCTACAGCAGGTCCCCCAGCTGTCAGTCCCCTGACACCAGTACAACAGCACAGAAAAACCCTTATCTGAGCTAAGGAGATTCAGCCTTGACGGAAGAACTGAAATGACACGGAAAGACTACGCTGTGCCCAAAACCTTCTGCCTTCTTCCCAAGCATGTACACCACTGTGCCTTTTAGCCTTCATAATTTGGGGCGTGATGATGCAGCACATATATTGGACTGTGCCAGAAAAATCTCAGAATTCCTTCAGTGCGTTGTCCTAATGCAACTATTCACATCGGTACATTGCCAAGAGCCGCTGCAACACAGCCCCCAGGTCTCTCCAGCCAAGCACTCGGTCCTACAGTAATTCGGCTCTTCAGAAGGATATTCCCCTCCTACACTGAAGAGCTGCATTAGCTCCATGCCCAAAACACCAAGTTAAAATTTAAACAAGTTTCAGATCCCTCCTGTTGGTACGGCAATACGACTACAGGCTAAGCTGGCTCCAGTACAAGTAAATAATTTCAAACTGTGTTTTCCTGAACAAGGCTGCTCTAATATTTTGACAAAGTGATTTTTCTGTTTGTTTGTTTTCTAGCACCCAGCTCTAAAAGGTCACTCTGCCTTCCTCCCAACGAGTTCAGTATTATTCTTCCATTCTCAGAGAAGGTCAAAAATATATAATATCTGCATGTTCGGTATCTAAACACTGCTCAACACCGCGCCACCGAACTAACACTACACCACGGCGCTCGGTGCAGTTATTAGGAAGCATTCAGAAATCCAGCTACAAAAACAGGCTGCTGAAAACAGCTCGCTGCCATTTCTCACAAAGGACAATTTCCAGCCCGCCACGAGCACACGTTATTAACTTCCGTACAGAACTATAGGGACAACCTCGCTGTAACGTGTTTCACACGCAGAGATGAACAATGTGCACGAGCAAAACATTATCCGTGTGAATTGCAGAGTCACGTGACACTGTTCTAGCACGCTGAATAAACTTCGTTCATTATGATCTGAAGGAATTGCATCGTTTCCCTGATGCACCCTGCCATGAAGCCACTTCCTCCAAATTTTCATCCTCCCCCAACAGCAGGCACATTTAAATAAACACTTTTTAAAACTCAGCTTTCTGCTCCCCCTGCTGCAAACGTAAGATCTCCTCTCAAAAAATTATCCTTATTTGGAAAAACAGGATAGAAATAATTTAGTCTTGGGATCAAATGTTTTCTTAACACTGTAAGGTAAAAAACATTTTAGTCCACTCTAACGAAACCAACGCACAAAAAAAAACCCCCACAAGATTGTGAACAAAGAAATGGAAGATTTCCTCCTTTCCATGTCAATCAATGCTCATTTCTTACCCTAAACCAGCAAGACCTTATGAATCTTAAAGTCCTGCTTTTATGCACTGCAAAAGCTCTTTTGGAAGCTTTTCTGACTCCCTCCAACAGCCACGCTCTCAGGCCAACAGCAACGAAACCTTTACGAGCGGGCTGATGTAGTTTTCTTTGCACGCATTTTACAGAAACCTTGGTCAAGTATTTTCTCCCCAACCCTGAAAGCACATTCACTCTCTGTACGTGCACACCTCGCACGCTTCTGTACAGAAGTTTCATCAATGCCGGTTTGGAACAGCCAGGATAATTCACTCCCAGTTTCGCCACTCAAGAGGAATGAAACCATCACAAACCCTCACTGATAAAGGGGAATTACCAGCCTTGTCCTTCTGCTTCACCAAAGATAAAAATCTTAGAGGATTCTTACTCCCAAGGCTTTGTCCTCCTGGAGCAAAGTCTGCAGAACTCAAAGCTCTTAAAGTTTTCCTAGACCTCACGGATGACAGTAACATGGCGGGAGGCACTGCACGCCAAGCCCATTCCTCATGTCCTTAAGTTTAATTCTTCCCTTTAACAGGGGCAGACAGCCTCAATTCTGTGACATCCTTTTGTTTAGAAAACCCATCATTAACCAGAGGTTTCTGGCTGGACACCCCGAATCACATTTTTGCAAGAACCATACTGAAGGGAGGTGAAAATTTGTATCATGGAGAAAACAGACCAAGATTTCTTTAATAATAATACTAACTCTTCTAGAAAGACAAATAAGTGGGTAAGGAGACAGCGAAGGTGATCAAAGGCCCACACCTTGCATTCACCATGTCCAACCAGTATCTAAGTTCACACCATGCACACCGTTGGCTGTATTTGTGTAAGCAAAAAATCGTGTGCGTCACTGCACGGTCGAACAAGCCTTCAGAGCAACAGCTAAATAGACCTGTGCCCTGCAATGAAAAACTGTTGGAGTAGGAGGCAGAGCGCATTTTTCATGAATAGGCCAGAGGTGGAATGACCATCGTAAATCTTACCACCTCTGGCAAACAAAGCCAAGCTCGTTTCTGTGACCTCCTCTATCAAATACTGGGTGAGTTCTGCACCTGTGTACTATATATAAAGGCCATTCCTAAATAAATAGATAGATAGATAGATAAATAAAATCCAATGTGCATGTGTTAGCCTCACAGTAAGAATGAGAAAACAGACATGTGACAGATGATGGCTCTGCTGCTTCCAAGAGTCTCAGATACTAAGGTGACAGGCAAGGCACCAGAATAAAGCCTAAGCAAGGTACAGCTTTAGTATGTTACAGTTAAGAATAAGAATCAAATAAGAATTCCCTGAAAACATGCTGGCAGCAAGTGTCTCAGCTGACTATAACCAAGCCATAATGACAAGAGAAGACAAGCGATTAGAGCTGTGACACTTTATAAGACAGGCATGACACGGTAGCACAGAACAAAAATGTCACTGTTTGAAAGCTACTGATAAATCACTTGGTAGGCAAAAAGAATCAACCTTTCAATACACCGCAAGGATGAATTCATAGACTTTTTTTTTTTTGCTGATATTTAAGCTCTCTGGAGTTTAACAGTCTGTTACAAGTGTGGCCACTTACCAAAAATCAAGACAAATTCCAGCTGTCTCTTGAGTATGACAGGTATTCTCTGGTATTCTGGTTATGAAACCTGTCTCAAGCTGGAAGTATGCCCCCCTGAAGGATTCTTACCTGCAAGACATCTTGGATCTTCACCCACACATCAACCATGTCATAGAGCTTGATATCACCATCATACTGGCTGCAAGGAGAGGCCACTGTTTGCTGAAGGTGTCCGAGGACAACAGAATGCGCAGCAGCCACAGCGTTGAACTTGTCAAAGAGAAGCTCCAGCAGCTCCAGCAGCAACCTGTAAACCATGGAGACAACCACCACTCAGTTTCCAGAAGACACCACAGGCACGCAGTCATGCAGCACGTCGCAGCAGGAGCCCACGAGTCAGAAGATCTGTGACTCCATATATCCCGTTTCGTGACAGATGCCACGTGCAAGCTGGGAGGCCACCTAACTTCCAACCCTCTCTGTGGGCTTCACGTGACTGACTTCAGCTGTTAGCAGCTTGGGTTTGGTACCTAAATATTTCTGAGGATCTTCCTTCCCGCTCCTTCCTCTGTATCAGGGTTGCTCACTTTTACTGTGTTCTGCTTGGGGGTACAGGAAGACAAAAGCACTGGTAAATACTGAGTAACTACGCTTCAGTACCGTGACCTTAGAGACCATTTTAAGTTCCCAGATAGAGCTGCAAACGGGGAGGGAGACTACCTGCTTTTCCCCCAGAAGAAACTAAGAGTCTCAAATCAATAAAAATTTACTTACCCATACAAACAGAAGACAAGACATTCATTTTGAATTATGAAATACGTACTGTGGCTGGTTTTAAACAACACAAAAGATCGGAAACCTAAAATATCAAGCCTCATCAACCGCGTCAGTTATAAAGACTTTACTACTACATGGAAGGTGCTACAGCTATAACCTCATCTAAATGTCCTACACTTGACCTGCTCCTATGGCTTCCTTACTGCCCAATTATTGTAATTAATGTACCTTTGCAATGTCCTAAATATTTTGTGATCAGGCAATGGCTCGCGACATTTTTTATTACTTGAGAAAAGGAAAATTCTGATCAAGTTCACTGCCGTTTAATGAGCAATTCAAGTACACATGTAACCCCAACAAAATGTGAAGATAACACTTCCCAAATCCATATGTTAGGCACTTCTAGCTCTGACAGACAGGCTCCATCACATTTAACTGCAGCAGCTTAGGAGTTACCACATGCTTGCTGTGTCTACCCATCAGAAGTTGCTATCCCCAGAGCAGGACAGAAGATCTGCAGCAAAATCCCAGTTGCACCCCCTCCTTACCCACCACGCTTCATCTTCCGAGTTCACAATCACTAACGAGGGGTGTGTTGCTATTTCAGAGCGGAATATCTGCGCACACCCGCTTTCATCGGCTGTTCAGGCCAGAAGCTGGAGAGTTCACTGGAGTAATTAAGAAGCTGCTGCACATTCACTGCTGTTACCACCAGACAGCAAGAGCGGCCTGGCATGACGTTGTGGCTCAAATACCTACTTCAACCTACAGCAATCCTAGACATAGTCTGCAAAGGACAGAAGCTGGCTATTGTTTAAAAAAAAAATTACTACCAGCTTTCTGTCTGTCATTCCTACACTACAGCTTTACATATATAGACTCAGATGCACAGCATTAGACAGCAGTTCCTTGGGGATCTCACATGGGCCCTTCACCCACCAATGATGGCAACTACACAGCTCACATGGTGAAGCAGAAGAGCACCTTGATTCAATAGAAAGAGCCATTGGGTAAGTCCAGGAGGGTACAGCGAGGCAGAGCAGAACAGGTCAAGTGGCCAGATCTACGTCAAAAATAAAGGTGTATTCAGGAATCACCGTACTCCTAAGAATCACAAGGACGTTAATACTGCCATTCCTTAAGGGACTGCAGAACTAAGACAAGTATCTTATCAATTCAAAAGAAACTGGTGTGTACATCCATTTTCTTCCTATTTAAGAACAGCAAGAAATGCCTAAAGAAAAGTGTTGTTGGTACTACGAGAGAAAAAAAAAACCCTGCTGTTCTACAGGTCTTTACAAATTTAAGACGCTGGCAGGGGATAAACAGAAGTATACGGGACACGATGGTAACGACAGCACAGAAAAGACAGCTATTATCAATATTAACAGTATTACATTTTCAACAGGGCAAAGTCCAGTGTGGAAGAGAAGACATTCTCCTCCATTTAGGCTTTGCAGAAAGCTTGGTAACTACCCTGCCCAAGCCAAACTGAGAAGCTGCCACTGTGGAAAGGTCTATGTACCTTCCCCCCCCCGCCCTAACGACTGTTAGCCCATCGCCAACGGTGCCAGTGAAGGAGGCAGGACAATATGGAGATAAGGCGGCCTCAAGAACACCCTCCATCGCTGTGAAGCAAGTATCTTCTCTGACCCACTCGAAGACACGGGAGAGGCAACTATTGCTTCAACAGCCCCCAAGAGATACAGAGAACTTCTCATAGCAAGTGAGAGAGATGAGGCTGGGGCAAGTGGCTGGTTAGTCAGAATCCAGACAAAAATAGGAGGAAAACCAGATGTAGAAGAATCTGGGTAGACGAGGGATTTCATGTTGGAGGCAATTACATACAGCCTTGGTTGAAACGCCACAAAAGATAACATTATGGGAGGAAATTCATTACCTACCACTGAGAAAATTTAGCAGTACAAGCCCAACTTCTCCTAACACCCCACTGTGAATGAAAATTTAGTTATCGATATACCTCCTTGTTGCCCCAGGAAAGTACAACGGAACTAGCTGGATAGTTTGACAAATTCATTTTTATTGTCCCTGGGTGAGCCTGACTTCACATTATCAACTTGTTTATCATGCCATTACTAAAATATTATTATACTGAGCAGAAGTATTTGGTTTTAAATTCCAATGTCTTCCCATTCTCATGCTGCAGACTGACAGACATGACATCTTCCATCCATGTCCTTCAGTGGCGCTAACTACCACCCCATTACATTTTCCTTTCTCAACTAACATCATAGTTTCACAACTCCCTGTTAAAATCAGCCAGCACCTCTTATCTTTATTTTCTTTCCTCTAAAAGTCTTCTAAATCTGTCAGGTCACTTTTGAAACAAGGTGACCCAAAAGGGACGCGGACGCAGCTCGTGTCAGACAGCCAACAAGACAAAACAGCATAAAATAATATGGCCTAGATTTTATGCATATGGGGTTGCAGCGCGGAATGACCTAAGCAGAACACAGACAGAGAATGACAGGAGACTGGCTGAGGCAATTTGTCAAAGCAATCTCATAACCCCTTCACCGAGGAATATGGTAAATGTGTTGAGAGGCAATGACACACACCCGGAAGCAACTCCCTATTGTCCAAGCACCAACGGAGAAGGAATTGATGCAGAGTGACTGCTGACACCTGAATGAGGTCGCTAATGACAATTCGTGCATTTTAGCAGCAATAATGTCCTTTGCCTGGTCAGAGTGTTGGCGTGTATGTAATTTCTGTATTTATTTTAAAGCCCTGAGGTGAGGCAAAAAGCCAGAAGCGTATTACGAACACGCAGGGAAAAATGCGCTGAATCTAATCAATAGGATTTAGTAGCAAAATTGTCAATACACCATTTCCTCCTGGACCAGATTTTCAGCGTATCCTTACCAAAATCTTGTCCCATAAATCCGGCCCTGAGGTAGGCGTGTGTCCAGATAATTATTATTCTAAACTCAACAATCCTCCACAGATAGCAGTACCCCAAGGTAGCACAACAGGGCCTCTTCTACGATGCTTTTTCCTCTACAACCCAAGAGACATGTTGGCAAACATGAAGGTACAAGGCATGCCCTAATGAGCCGCTAATTAAGGATAAGGCAACAGCCATTCCTATATTTAAGCCCTTTTTCATAAACTTGTTCAAAGCACAGATACCTAAAAGCTTTAGAGAACTTATCTAGAATTAAAAAAAAAAAAAGTCCACTTAAATTAAAGCTGAGGTCAGCTACAGCTAGGTGAGGTTCAAGCATAGTTTACTACCAGTGACAAGGAACTACTAGGAACCTGCTACTGCCCTTTATCAGGTCTTACTATCTTTGCATCATTCACATTTCACGATGATAAGTGCACATTAGTGCAAAGGGTTTATATTCATAGCGAAGTAACTTATAGCAGAAGATGTTCCACCAAGTTAGGCCTATCTTAAGGCTGTTATCCTGCGTGACTGCACCCATGTTGCATCTGTTAGGAAACTTAAGAATTAGGCGTATCACAGAGCCATGCAAGTCCTTCCTTTGGGACCCCACTGGTGAAAAGCACTTTCTGCCATTAACTGGAGGTCCTTAACAGGGCTAGCGGCATCTTCAACAAATGAGCCTTTCCAGTTTCACACCACCTCTACTCAGATGGACTGCAGACCGCTCAAACTGAAGGACGAGGGCAATGCACTCATGACAGAACGGGCCACACGTTACCAACACTGCAATCATTGCTCACTCTTGTGCGCATGCTTAACAACGAGCCTGGTACACAACACCTAGTAGAGCATGGACAAGACTTGCTCCTGGCAGGCTTATAGGGGCTACAGGACTTCCATGGGAGAAAACAGACTTCACAAAGCTCTGAGGAGCTGACCCAAGAGCCCACTGCCTGTTGGCTCTATGAAGAGAGCACCCAGAGGTGCGGGACAGACATCAGTACTCTCTGGGAGCCAGTTGCTTTGGAGTCATAAACCAAACAAAATAATCTTAAAAATTTGGGAGCAATTATGTCTTTATACGCAACTGTGAAAGGTGGCCTCACAAATCGATACGGAAGAGCTTACTAGGTAAGGAAGCAAAAGACAATCAAATTTAAAAAATAAGAATAATGAGATCAGCGTCTCTTCAGACTCAGTGACTGTCACCAGATCCGCAATTTTTCTGGACAGATTCTAGAAATTACTTCTCTCTTGTAAGATGCCAGGGCTCTACATCATTGTTACATGGGGTCCCGAAAGGAATTACACCAGAACCTCCAAGAGCAGATTATCAGTCAGCCTCAACCTCAAGTGGAGGGAAACACCACACTTTTCCACATGGAAAAAAACAAGAGCCAACCTTTGAGAGCGCCGCACAGCGACGAAGAAATGCATGTAACGTGTTCTGTGCCTACTGAATGAGCAACAGGACTCCAGCAGAAGGCTCAATCTATCGCCTCAGACCCTGCAGGCCTCTCCATCACCTTATTAGTCATTTTATTTGCCAAAAGTGATAATTTTTGAGGCTACTATTTAAAGTACAGTAGCTGAATACAGGCACTGAGCTCAGCGCTAGAGACTAAGAGGTATCCAAGGGGCACTAGTTTTAAGGTGAACTGACAAACTTCTTACTCACTGAATGCTGAGGTCAAGCAAGCATTGTGGCTGACAGCCTAATGAATAGTTAAAGCAGTTTTGGGCGCCGCACCATGCTCAAATTTGGGGTCTTACAGAGCTCTCTTGAAATAGCAGCACTTTGTTGTTCAGATTTTTTTTCTTGACAGCAGGAAAGTCACTTAGTTTTGATTTAAAACTGTAGCTAATTTAAGGGGCGGTATACCTTTCCATACCACAATTTATTCTTTTCAATATAAATGAATTCACCTGCTTGCTGTAAACTTCACATGCGATTTCGGTTCAGAACCCGTTCTAATTACCTCCTTAGTCAACAAGAACTCAAGACACTTTCCATAGCTCTAGAATATAAGCATCTTAAAGGCTCACAAACTCCTATTAAACACATGCCAAAACCCACTAAACATACCTGTACCTCACTCAACCCTCTGGGCAGGTTAGTATCATTAAAATATGATCCGATCCAATTTATCAATTTCAATAGACAACCAGTAGCCGTACAACCTCTGAAGACCGATTCATAAAACAAGTATCAAGCATATGCTATGCTCCTCCTTGGCATCCAAAACTAAAATTCTGCTTTCTGACTCACCCAAAAAGCCTGTTGTAATTTCACCAAGTTATCAGCACTGTAACTCAACGAATTCTTCACAACATAATTGTTTCCAGAGCAATAATAATGCTAGCAATTAGAAAAAGAGGTCTTTATCAAGCTAAAATTTTCCTTGGGAGTGATTTTCCTCTACAAATATTACATATAATGAAGATACACGTGTTTGTTTTCATTTTTCTTTTCCACCATTAATTCCCTTTGGACGGTGATCATTACAACGTGCAGTATCACAAATTAATATTTCAGCTAGAAGTGATAGCTAGCCCTTATGGAGTCCTGTTTTCCAAAGAACAATTCTAGTGAATCCTGAAGAACGGCCGAAACCCAGCTCTCTGTTGACTTCCACACCTTGCTACTAATGTAAATGGGGCTGCAAACCAATTAGAAACTTGGCCATATATTTACTGATATAATTAGCTCCATATATGATTTCAAAGCTTTGCACCTGCATCAGCTTAATTGGACTCACTACACTTGAAATAAGTAACTGAGCTGAATCTTCTCAAGTCATATTACGTCAGAACTCAAAAATTTCTTTGGCAGCAGCACCAGTGAAAAGCCATGATTCAGTGCAACACGAGACGACAGTATTTGTTTTGCCACCAAGTGTTCTTTACACCATACATACCAGCAATCTGAGACAGTATTACAATTCAATCTGTTGTAAAGCTGCTTAAAACGACAGGTTAGGTTAAAAAAAAATAAATAAATCAAATAACTAAACATAATGCACCCCTTGCTAGATAAATAATGATGGCTTCTGCTGTGCTTCCACCTTCAAATCTGCATTTCAAACACCTCTTTAGCCAAAAGAGTCACTCCTAGGGCTAAGCACAGAAGGAAAGCATCTCCCTTTCCCACCCCCTTAGCTGAGAAGCAAGAATGCCTCCCCCTTTTTGAACACACTTCTTATATTTCCATGCCTTTCCGGTGCTCAAGGCACATCAGCCTTTCAGTAAGATATGGGCATTTCTGAAAATCTTACCATTTCAGATCTCTGCAAAAACATGACTGTCGTGCTTTCAAATGGCAATTAACAGATACGACTCCCATCTCCAGACTTCTTTTTGCAGCCGTCAAGGTTCAGTGGTTCAAATATCCTTACCTAGGCTGATTTTCCTGGGAGAGATTCTCCCCTCTCTGGTAACCATTGTCTGCCACCTGGGTTGTGGACCGCTTCACAATCTGCTTGAGTTCTTGCTCTAAGCGATCCTGGATGGCTTTGACCGTTTCGGGGATTTTTTTCAGCTTGGCCAGCCCTTTGATAAGTATGCCCATGAAGATGGTGCTGTTCTCCTCTGGATCCAGGTCCGTATCTTCTTTAATTTCCAGAAGGCTTGTTTCTCGCACTGGAATAGATTAAAAGAGGCATAATCCAAGCTTTAAACTATTAAAATCAACACTTCACACCACGCAGAAGCAGCATGTCAACTCCTTTGCCTTCACAGAACTCCCATCACTTTGAGCAAGCAAGGAATAAACAAGGAAACCAGCCACACTCCGATTCCGGAGGGAGGCAGTGGATATTTCTGCTTGCTTGGGGGCTTCCCTATAGATAAATACAACCGCCTGCACATTTGATTGATTTAGAAACAGAGGTTGTGGTGTAAGTTCCTTATTAGTCAGGAAACAGAGGAAGTCTGGTGCAATTAAGATATTCATCAATGGAAGGTATTATATCACTACAAATCCCTCGAATGCGTTTCAAGGAGCTCAAAGTCCTACATTTCCCACCCAGCTGTTTTCCTTCACTATATTCTGCACAAGAGAGGCATTTTCATTATAAACAGTATCAAGCTTAACAGACTTCTGATGAATTCGGCAAAGTTTACACTGCCAAAGTGAGTGATTGTTTGATGTTATCCCACTCTGCTTTATTATCTCTGCCAAAGGGTTGATGAAGTTACTCAAATCTTTTAGCAAGGCTTCCAGAGAGGAAAAGCGAGAAGAATTACAGAGGATATTGTGGGTACAGTCCTCCTGAAGTAACAGGGAGGGCACAGGGAGAGATTCTGTTGCTAAGCGACAAGGAAGAGAAAAACAAGAGGTGCTATGCTTGGTTTAAGGATGCTCATTAAGCAACATTTCCTAATTTACAGATAACACCCAGCAACAACAAAAGTATGTCTCTGTTAAAAGACCGGGTGAAACATTTAATAAATATATTCAAACCCTTCTGCGAGGGAAATGCCTTCAAGGCAAACTCAACCAAAGCATCTTGGAAGATCTACAGGCTGGTGAACAGCCGGAGAGGCAGTACGTGGCCAAACAGCGCCAAGGCACACGGCTGAAGCTGTGCCATCCACCACACCATGTCCCTGCAGAGCAATCGGAACCCAACGGCTGTTTCTTCTCCCTGGTACTGAACTCTGATGAGGGCTGTTGAATGACAGATGACTCCTGCGGTTTCAACTGCTCAACAGATTTTTTTTACTTAAATCAAAACTTATCCAAGAATCTGAATCAATGTCAAAAGATCCACCAGAAGGATTTAAACGACGCGGCAGAGATGAGAAGTGGCACGTCACCAGTAGCGTGCAGCCCTGTAGCTGTCCAAAGCCATGACACGCTGAACAGAAGAGCATCAGCATCGCTCAGCTCGCACAGGATCAAGAAAACAACGTCCCCAAGAGCCCTTATGGTGCCACTTCATAAATAGTATCAAGATAACGCTTATTCCAGGGTCAGCTTACACCAACCTCCACCGCAGAGGTCGTTTCTCTCCATCAGTGTGATCCCAAACACGGCACCTCCAGCTCAAAGCCAAACTCACCGTTCACAGGCTCTTGCGTTTCCACCCCCAGCACCAGCAACGCTGCCAGGTAAGAGCGAGGGAAGAAGGGATCCTGTGAGGCCATCACACATCACAACGGGGAACGACATCGGGTTTTAGATAATGGACATCAGGGAGATCAAATAGTGCTTTTCTCCCCTCTTCTCACACATTTTTTTTCAATTAAATTTTGGCAAGTTATGGGCAAGCAACTAGAAACACCCAGAATGCGTGATTTTTTTTTTACGGAAAAAAAAAGGCAAAAAAGCAAGGATAATATAGGAGGTACTTCAAACACACATAAGCAATAACACCAATTAGAAGCTAACAACGAAATGCGCACATAATTCTGCTCAAAGCTCTCGTCTATCACACACCTTTCAACCCTGGAGGCTGCAAAGCACTTTGTGCGCCGCGTACATGCTCTACCCACTTTGTTAATGCTACTTGTTATTCTCCAAAAACCACAGCATGCCAGGCACAAACACAGAAAATGAGCTCTCTGGAACAAGAGCTGTGGAAAAGACAGCAGTGGAAAATACTGGAGGAAGAAAGGTTTTAACTTATTGGGGTTTTTTTTAAAAAAAAAAAAAAAAAAAAAAAAAAAAAAAAAATAATAATATCGTGTTCCTCTGAGTTCAATGCAAGGATTTCACAGCCTAAGGAACCTTTTAGAGGACAGGTCCCCGCTATTACGCTGCAGCCCCTTTGTAAGCAGGCTGGAAATTATTCTTAATATCACACAATGAAAACCCAAGAGGGAGGAAATATTGCTGTACCCAAAAGTAAGGACAGCATTTAAGAGGACTAAAGGTGGCAATCTGGCTGAGAACTCTGCCAGCACACGGAGGTGAACGCTCTTAAAAAATTTCAAAAGAGCAAACCAATTTTGAACACCCTCAAATAGTCAAGACGCTGATTTACATCTCTTACAAACAACAGCAAAGCGAACAGTTCAATATCTAGTTGTAACACACGGGTATATAAGTTTTGTTAGATCTGGTCTTTTGATAAAACAGTAGGGACTGTGTTCCCTGCACATTCTGCCTATTAAACAGGTATCCTGGGTAGCTTTGGGGGCCCATTTATGTCTAAGATCTGACAAGATTCCAACCCCGGGCAACTGAAGATGTTCTTCTTTTCCTGCGTCCTCCCCACTTCAAACATCCTCTTCTGCCATTTAATGTCATCAAGGGGTTATTTGACCACAAAGCTTTGGCCCAGGAATCAGCCCCTCCTGTCCCCCACCTCTTCGGAAAAGGCATCAAAGTAGATGTCTCGATAAAGACGTTCACCTTTAAAACTGCAACCCCACACGCTATTCTCTGTGGACAGAGGAGCTCCACGGGTGAAGGAAGATGCCCCTGCAGATCAGCTCTCAGAAGCGAAAGCTTTGCCTGTATTTACTCTTAAACCCAGAATATGAATAACTTTGTTATTCATTTCTACCAAGACAAAAGCACAAGACTGTCAGAATCTATTCCTAGCTTTCTACATTCACCCCTTGCTACCTGAAATGCATCTGTAAAACACGGATCCCTTTAAAGAGGGAAGATCATCATTCACAACATAAGCACTTCCTTTATGCAGAGAAGCCATGAAAAACTCATTTTTCTATGGATGTTTGCAACGATAACTTTTATAAATGGTTCTAAATTGTGACTCTGCTATTGAGATTTGAGTCAATCAACCTCTTCTCCTTTGTGATTCAGAAGAGAAAGGAAGAGAAGGAAAAAAAGTCCTATTTGAATTAAAACCAGCTTCACAATAATAAAAAACAATACAGGTAGAAAACACCAAATAATCCCATAGGATTTCTTCAGTAACACTAAGAAGTAAATTTCTCCACCCTCCCTGAGAGCATAACAAGTGAAATGTGATGTCAGCAAATTAATATTTTAAAATTTAAATTATTACAGTTGCCCTTCTCCACCATAATGAAACCTTTCAACTTCATTTGCTGTTTTATGCTAAAAAAAAAAAACAACAGCTCCAACATACTGCTTCGTTGTCCCACCTCAGCTACCAAGTCTTGCACACAGCCCCACGCAAACCAACAGAAATACTGGTTTGTGTGAAGCCTGATCGAGCCTTTGAGATCAGTTTGACATCTACCTTGAAATGTTTTTAGCTAAACTGACCTCTTTGGCAACCTAAATTTCAGTGTCACTTAATGATTTCAACTGGCTGTAGTGTTTTAACTCCATTCAAAGATGACACCACAGAATGACTGAGGTAGGCAGGGACCTCTGGAGGTCATTGGGTCCAACCCTCCTGCTCAAGCAGGGCCACCCAGAGCCAAGCGGCCCACGACCGTGTCCAGGCGGCTTTTGAGCATCTCCAAGGATGGAGAGGCCACAACCTCCCTGGGCAACCTGTGCCAGTGCTCGGTCACTCTCACAGGAAAAAAAGCCTTTCCTGATGTTCAGAGGGAACCTCCAGTGTCCCAATTTGTGCCCCCATGGCCTCTGGCCCTGTCACTGGGCACCACTGGGAAGAGCCTGGCCCCGTCCTCTTTGCACCCTCCCTCCGGGTGTTTACACACGTTGGTAAGATCCCTCTTGAGCCTTCTCTGCTCCAGGCTGAGCAGTCCCAGCTCTCTCGGCCTTTCCTCACAGGACAGATGCTCCAGACCCTTCATCATATTCATGACCCTTTGCTGGACTCTCTCCACTATGTCCATGTGTGTCTCACACTGGGGAGCCCAGCACTGGACCCATCACTCCAGGTGTGGCCTCCCCACCCACCCACAGCTGCTCCTCTACACCCGAGCGTCTGATTGCTTCTCCTCAGCTTCTGAACCTGCCCATCCTTGGATTAGGAGGACCTCTACCTTTGTTAGGTTAATCTCTTGAAGTTTTTAGTGACTTTAGTATGCATTATGTGCTGTACGTTGTATATTACTGTAGGGTAAGGTCGTGCTGTAACAGCAAATATTGATCCACGTTGTAGGTGCAGGGACAAGCTGCTTGCTGTTGCTTTCTTGCACAGAATGAGAAAGTCTTGTGTTTAAATCTTAAGGGTAAAGCCTGTAAATTGCTCATTTTTCCAAGGTATTAATCGGTTGTTTTAGACTCCTTGTGTCTGAAGAGGGACTTGTGCCCCATCATCCATATCGGTAATTAAGATGCTGAACAGGGCTGTACCCAGTAGGACCCCCAGGTGTGCCCTGGGGTACACCACTAGTTACCAGCCTCCAACTAGACTTCGTGACTGATCACCACCCTCAGCACCCAGCCAGTTTTTGATCCGCCTCCCGGTCTGCTCACACTGCCTGTACATCAACCGTTTCTCTGTTGGGATCTCACAGAAGAGTGCCAAAAGCCTTCCTGCAGGGCAGGTAGACAACATGCACTGCTCTCCTCTTGTCTACCAGGCCAGTCATCTCATCCTAGAAGTTCATCAAGTTGGTCAAGCGAGAATGCCCCTGGGTGAAGCCATGCTGACAACTCCTGATGATTTTCTTGTTCTAACGATCTCTGAAAACCACTTATGAACCACGACATTTAAATATGGTTTATCAAAAGCCTCCCAAGACAATAACCTAAAGCAGCGATCATTTTGCCACATTCTTCA